GCTGGAGCTGGAGCCGCTGGTGCTAGAGGTACCGGAGGAGCTGGAGCTATTGGCCCTGGAGGTGCTCGTACTGGAGGTACTGGAGCTGCCGGGTTTAGTGGAGCTCGTTCTGGAGACGCTGACGTTGGAGGTTCTGGAGCTGGGGCGTTGGAGTTGGGGGAGCTGGAGCTGGGGACCCTGGTGCTGGCGGCGCTGGAGCTGGAGGTGCTTGTGCTGGGGACACTGGCGGTACTGCTGCTCGAGGTGCTGCACAGTGGCGACTGTTCTTCACTCCGCCGTCGCCGTCGTCTCTCCCGCCGCCTGACTCCGTGCTTCGTCAGGTTCTTTCCCTTCCGTCTTCTACTGGTCTCCCGTTACAGCCTGGCTCTCCACTGCCTGCTCCTTCTCCTTACACTGAGCAGTCAGACTCACTTACAGAGCGTCGTGCGCCAACGTCGCGTCATGCCTCCCCTGTTCGCACTGTTCGCCGTGCTCGTCGTGTCCCGCGTCCGCGTCCTCCTCCTGTGCCAGGCACTCACACTATGGCACTTCGTCCCTCCTCTGCTCCACAGCACGCCCCGCTGCCGTCTCCTCCTGCGTCCTCTCTTCCTGAGCTTCCTGACCCTGAGTCTGACCGTGTTCGTGCTGCTAGCCCCACAGTCACTCGTCTTCTGGCTACAGTCGTCACTGACCCGTCGTTTGAGTCCACTGCTGCGTCTGCCCTAGTTGCTGAGCTTGTCGACTTTGCTGTTGCGTGTCGTCTAGACTACGCCGCCAGTCTTGTTGCTGAGTCTAAGTCTGAGTCTGTCTGTCCTCCGTCCGTCGGGGGTGAGTGTGCTCTTGGCACGGACGTCCTTGTTGGCCCGCGTGGCCACGTAAGCAAGACGAAGCTGACCACGCTGCTGCAACTCTCGAGCCAGGAAGTAACGCAGAGCGATGTGCTTCGTTCTGTGCTCCAGTCTGTGCTCCTCACACAAGGCAATGGCCGCCTTGTTGTCAACGTACAGAACTGGAGGAGAACGAGGCCGCTCTCCCAAGTCAGTTAGCAGGTAGGTGAGCCAGCGTAACTCCTGTGCAGCCATGGCTGTGGCGTAGATCTCAGCCTCACAACTGGAGCTGAGAACAGAAGACGAGCGAGTAGACCGCTGCGAAACAGAGCCGGAGCCAAGGCTGAAGGTGTAACCCTATGACGACCGCTGCGTAGCCTGGTCGTCAACCCAAGACGCGTCAGAGTGTCCAGTGAGGACAACGTCACCCCATCCTCCAAGCACGAGCCCCATGCCCGATGTACTGCACAGGTAGCGCAGTACCCTCTTCGCAGCTTCCCAGTGCACCTTTCGGTGCCTACCAGGAGCCACGTAGCGAGCCAGAAGGCCAAGAGGTTATGCAAGGTCAGGTCGAGTGCAGGTCATCAGGTACATGAGGCAGCCCACTAGCTCTGGGTAAGGACCACTCGACTCTACGGACTCGTCCGAAGGTGGAGCTGAGAGCGAGTGACCTAAAGCCAGAGGAGTGGAATGTAGGGAGGGCCAGGTGAAGCCGAAGCACTGAAGGACCTGCTGCACCATGTGTGACTGAGACAGTGTGATGGTGCGGCGTGCTCTGTCCCGGGTGATCTGCAAGCCAAGGTAGCTGCGCAGCTCACCCAGGTCTGTACACGTGTGTCTCTTCTGCAGCTCCGACTTCACCAGGGCGAGAGCCTCAGTGTCAGCAGTGGCAAAGACCAAGTCGTCGACGTACACGAGGATGTAGAACGGCGGCAGCGAAGTGTCGATGCGCAGAAACAGCGACGGGTCAGCAGTAGAAGGAGCAAACCCAAGAGCCGCAAGTGTAGTTCTCAGTGTGTCGTGCCACTCACGAGGCGCCTGGCGGAGACCGTAGACTGGCCGCCGGAGGCTCCACTGGGTACCAGGAGGGAACGACCCAGTGAAGCCAGGTGGGCGGTGCAGCCAGATCTCCTCGTGCAGGCTGCCCTGTAAGAAGGCTGTGCTGAAGTCAAGAGAGTGAAGCTCGTAGTCACGCTGAGCGGCAACGTGCAGCAGCACCCGAAGAGTGGTCATCTTCGAGGTGGGGGAGAAGGTCTGGAAGAAGTCAACTCCCTCTCGCTGACTAAAGCCTCGAGCAACGTAGCGAGCCTTGAAGACAGGCGGAGAACCCGGTGGCCGCTTCACCCTGAAAATCCACATGCCATCGACGATGTTCGCCCCAGGAGGGGGAACCTCATCGACGTAAGTGCCTGTGGACTTCCAGGATGCCATCTCTGCGTCCATGGCTGCCTGCCACTGAGAGGAGTACTCACCCGCGATCGCCTCAGCGTAAGAGCGCGGGGTCGGGATGTCTACAGCATCCGGGTCTCCCTCAGGGGCAAGCAGCATGGCCACGAGATGAGGCGCAGCGGCTGCAAGACACTCAAGGTCCTCGTGCCTGTCCTCAAGGACGTCCGTGCTAAGAGCACACTCACCCCCGACGGACGGAGGACAGGCAGACTCAGACTCAGCAACAAGGCTAGCAGCGTAGTCTAGACGACAAGCAGCAGCAAAGTCGACAAGGTAGCGACTAAGGCAGACGCAGCAGCAGACTCAAACGACGGGTCAGTGACAACAGTGGCTAGCAGACGCGTGACAGTAGGGTGCTTAGCACGAAACCGGTTAGACTCAGGGTCCGGAACGTCAGGCAAAGAAGACGCAGGAGGAGACGGCAGAGGAACACGCTGTGGAACAGAGGAAGGACGAAGTGCCATAAGGTGCGTGCCAGGGACAGGAGGAGGACGCTCACGACGAACACGACCAGTGCGACCAGTGCGACCAGTGCGAACAGGCGAGACAGGACGGGACGCAGGCTCGCGACGCTCAGTAAGACCTCCTGGCTGCTCAGTGTAAGGAGAGGGAGCAGGCAGGGGGGAGCCTGGCTGTAACGGTAGGCCAGTGGAAGACGGCAGGGTAAGAACCTGGCGAAGCACTGTGTCAGGAGGCGGCAAAGAGGACGGGGACGGTGGAGAGAAGAACAGACGCTGCACAGCAGTGCCACCAGCACCAGTAGCTCCAGCGCCTCCAGTAGCTCCAGAACCTCCAGCAGCTCCAGACCCTCCAGCGCCAGCTCCTCGAGCGCCAGCACCACCAGCAGCCGCAGAACCTCCAGCGCCAGAACCAGCGTCACCAGCAGCAGCACCCCCAGAACCGGCAACTCCAGCCTCAGTGTCTCCAGCAACAGCACCCTCAAACGCAGCACCTCCAGCCCCAGCAGCTCTAGTACCTCCAGTACGAGCACCTCCGGGTCTAGCGGCTCCAGCACCTCCAGCGCAGTAGCCCCAACCGCACCTCCTGCGGCAGGGTCAGCAGCACCACCAGCTCCAGGGTCGCCAGGCCCAGCGGCTCCAGCGTCGTCGGCACCTCTCGCACCAGCCCTAGCACCCTCAGAACCGGCACCCACAGCGCCAGGGACGTCAGCAGAAGCGCCTCCAGTGAAAACGCCCCGAGCTCCAGCAGCGCGACCCTGACGGCAAGCGTAACACTCGTGCAGCTGCTGTGGGGAGAGAGGCGCACGCGGACGAAGGCGGCCACTCCAAGGAGACCGCGCACAAGCAGTCTCAGTACCCTCAGGTGCCGCACCCCCAGACTCAGCAACCCCAGGCTCCACATGCGCAGGCTCAGCACCCCTAGGCGCCTCAATCTCAGGCTCAGCACCCCCAGGCTCCTCACGCGCAGGCTCAGCACCCCCAGACTCAGCACTCCCAGGCTCCTCACGCTCAGGCTCAGCACCCCCAGGCTCCTCACGATTAGGGTCAGTACCTGCAGACTCAGCACCCCCAGGCTCCTCACGCTCAGGCTCAGCACCCCCAGACTCAGCACCCCCAGGCTCCTCACGCTCAGGCTCAGCACCCCCAGACTCAGCACCCCCAGGCTCAACACCCCTAGGCTTCGCACTCTCAGGCTCAGCACCCCCAGACGCAGCACCCCCAAGGCACAGCACCCCGAGCAGGACCACCCCCAGCAGGACCTGAGTCACCAGTGACCTCAACAGGCTCAGGCACAGGAGGGTCTACCTGAGAAACACCTGAAGGAGCAGGACCTGGCGCGGGGAGGGGGTCTACCTGGGGAGGACCTGGAGCGAGAATGAGCGGAGGGGGGGGGCGAGCGGCAGTGCGGTAGGGAAAGAGACGGTAAAAGGGGACCGACTCGTCGAAGGTGACGTCCTGAGACGCAAAGACACGGCGCGAAGCGGGGTCGTAAAACTGCCAGCCAGGTGCGTCAGGAGGAAAACCAAGGAAGACGCAGGGAATGGCGCGAGCAGAGAGCTTGCCCACGGTGGTATCGCAGACAAAGGCACGAGCACCCCACTGTGACCCCTTGTTCTCCTCCACTTTGCCTATGGGGGTGTGTCAAACTATATGTTCTAGTTCTGTGTAGGCTATAGTGAGTTAGGGTTAGTACTTGTACCCACGCTTCATGCAATGCAACTCATTCGTGCTAGTTCTTCTGACAGGGTATAGCAACACTGCTTGAATATTATACGTGCGGCAAGTTTAGCTTGGCTGAATTCTGAAGTGATTGGTTGCCATGGTTGTTCTGCTGACCAGCAGGCAAATTCTTTGATGCTGCATTTGATTGTCTGGCTAGAGTCATTGTTTAGGGAAGCAAGGTTAACAACTAAACAGTAGATAAATAGCATGCAGATACACATGTGGCAGCTTTGGTAAATCCTAAGAACCTTACCAACTACCGGTAAGAAGCACACCACCAGCAGCATCATCCCATGACAGGCCCGGTCATCACATGGCCCAGCCTCTGACCCATTGGAGAGCACGAGAGCAGCTTCAGTCGTATAAGCACCTCCCACAATCCAGCCTCCATGCTCCAATCCACCATCCAGTTGCTACAACACCCTGACCAGCAGGGTGCAAAATGTGTTCCGCCTTCCTCCCCACTGTCCACCACCCCGTGCCTTCCCCAGCTGTACCTTGGCTGCTCTCTGCTCGCTCCAATCAGCACCACCCTCCCACTCTCCACCACACACTGCACCTATCACGGCCTCCATGGAGGCCTTGCTGCTGCTGCTGCCTTGCTCACCCCGATAGGCTGGCTCCCTCTGCACCACACACTGCCATTCCTCCTCTCCTCCTGCCCGCCTGAGCTGCTGCTTGCTGTGACTACAGGACGGGTTACCACAGGATCAGCAGCCCTTGAAGAAGCCTCCACTGCTGGCATTGCTTTCCTGCTGACCCGTAGCTTGGGAATGAGGGACGGCAGCAGGTTTTCACTTGCTGCTGTCGTCCTTGCCCGAGCCTTGCTGGCAGAGCATCCAGTGCCAGGCTTGGGGATGCATGAAGGCAGCGGCGGAGTCAGGCTGGCTGCTGCCAATTTCACTTTCGCAGCCACAGCAGCTCCCACGTCAGCTGCCACAGCACCTCCCACGTCAGCTGCCACAGCACCTCCCACGTCAGCAGCCACAGCACCTCCCACGTCAGCTGCCACAGCACCTCCCACGTCAGTAGCCACAGCACCTCCCACGTCAGCAGCCACAGCACCTACCACGTCAGCGGCCACAGCACCTCTCACGTCAGCAGCCACAGCACCTCCCACGTCAACAGAAACTGCTGTGGACAACGTTGCTGCCGTTTCTGAGCCTTCATTTCTGCCCTTCTTCAAGGTGCTGTAGACACCACTGAGCACGTCTCTGGTGACGTTTGCCCAAGCAAAGGCAAAGCTAAAACGACTGCAGTCAATGTATTCTCCCGTGCTGTAGAGCCTGTGATAAACAACACTCTCCTTGCTTGCACTGTTGCTGAAGCTCATGCTAGAGCTGCTCTCTGTCTGTGAAGCATTCTTAAAAGCGTCACCCGCAGCGTCAGAGGAAACCACTGCAGCCTCAACGAGGCCCTCAGTGGAACCAGAATGATCCACTGAGGCTTCGGAGGTGTACCCTGAGGCTTCAGCATCATCTGATGTTTCTTCCTCGGATGACTCCTCTGCAGCCTCGGATGACTCCTCTGCAGCCTCGGATGACTCCTCTGCAGCCTCGGATGACTTCTCTGCAGCCTCGGATGACTCCTCTGCAGCCTCGGATGACTCCTCTGCAGCCTCGGATGACTCCTCTGCAGCCCCGGATGACTCCTCTGCAGCCCCGGATGACTCCTCAGCAGCCTCGGATGACTCCTCTGCAGCCTCGGATGACTCCTCTGCAGCCTCGGATGACTCTTCTGCAGCCTCGGATGACTCCTCGGCAGCATAATAGGAGTACCATGCAGCTTCACTCCACACCTCCTCCTCCCCTGCAGCCACATAGGGAGGTGGGGAGGTCAACGGATGATGACTCTGCATCTGCATGACGGCAATCCTGTTCCTAAAGAAGGCTAACGCTTCATAGAAGGTAGGATAACCAGCCGCATAATCAGCCATATTAGATTCTAAACCAAAACGGTAAACGAGAAGCTACAGGCCTTGAAAGCGGAGCTTAATGGTAGAGGGTCCTGGTAACAATAACGAGGGTAGGCTTAAGGTTGCAGGAAATTGAAGAGTATGATCTGAGAATGACTAGAGGGTTGCGGTAGTGCGGATTTGAAGATGAGGCATGAGGCAGAGCAGAGGGAGGGTTGTGGGAGGAGCAGCCGATGGGACGAAATGGGAGGAACGAGAGCCTCCTGCAAGTGCTGCCGAACCGGCAGGCTCCGGGAATCCCTGAACTCTGTACTGGCATGCTGCCCAGGTCAAAATAACCATCTAGGGCATTCTTTGAAACGAATTGGCTGGCTAATCGAACCTCATGGGGGTTCGGGCAAGAGCGGCGCGAAAATGTTGGTCTCCGCTGCCCTCTTTGAGCTCGGAAAATCTGCCTCGGAAGAAATCCGAGCCTCCATGCGAGAGACTCGGCGGTCCCTGGCGAGGTGGACGCATCGCACACTCCCGAGAAAAAAAAAAAAAACAAAAAAAAGAGAGAATCTGGGCAGGTTTGGCAATGCCTGGCAGACGAGGGGGACGAAAAACACACGCGGCATGTCACTCCCCGAGGAGTTATCTAGGGTCGAGGTAAGGCAGCGGCAAAATGAGCAGCCAAGAAAAGGCTCCGTGAATTCAACGGTGGTGCCTAGGAGATTATCGAGGGAATAAATCTAAATCGGAGTTCCAGGATTTTGAGCCTGAACTCGTTACAGAGGTTCTCATGGCTTCTATTTACGATATCATAATCATACCGTTTCCAACTTGCGCTTACGTACGGGTGTTGGATTGACCTTGTGTTCTTGTGGGCATCCACCATTCAGTCCGAACCTCCCGATTGGTGTGGGTAGCAAATGTCAAACCAACATCGCCGCCACTGCATCTCAAACTGAACCTGAACATCACGTAAGTTTTTTTTGTTAGAGATTGTAAGAAGATTTGAACCGACCCTTGCGCTGGAAAAATCGGTCAAAATTCGAAGGTCGTGGTCTCCTTGAAAATCTCAGGGTAAAACTGACAACACTCAGTTTTCTCGGGGCTAGCTCCTGCGATGGATTGTTCCCAACCCTTCCCCCGACCCGTGGTGTTAAACTGTATTATGCTTGTAGGCTGTAGTGGGGTAGCCAATATGGGGTACAACCCCAACTAGGGTTTCATATTTGTACCCAAACTTCTGCTAGTTCATTCATTCTTGCCTAGTTCTTCTGACATGGTATCAGAGCGAAGGTCTCGGGTTCGAATCTCGGTGTGTGCACCTCGGGCATCCCAGTGCGGGGGGGTGTCAGAGGTCCACTGGTGATCCCCGATGATCCTAGGGAAGGGTTACAGGCACGTTGGCCTGGGGGGTTATGGGCGCACTCACCCGCTACACAAACAAGCCCTTTTATCCTAGTGGTTAGTGGCTGGGATTCTGACATGGTATTCAGAGCAGGAGGTCCCTAGGACCTACCGACCGTTTTTTTTTTAAGGGCCCACCACCGCTCGCATGCGGTTACCACGCACCTCGCGGTTAGCGCCCTCGCGCGCCCCTTCGTTAGCGCCCTCGCGCGCCCCTCGTTAGCGCCCTCGCGCGCACCCTCGTTAGCGCCCTCGCGCGCCCCTTCGTTAGCGCCCTCGCGCGCCCCTTCGTTAGCGCCCTCGCGCGCCCCTTGCTAGCGCCCTCGCGCGCCCCTCACTAGCGCCCTCGCGCGCCCCTCGCCGAGCCGCCCGCTCGCAGCCCGCCCGCCCGCTCGCTGCCCGCTTCGCGGCCCGCTCGCTACGCAGCCCGCCCGCCCGCTCGCTGCCCGCTTCGCGGCCCGCCCGCTTCGCAGCCCGCTCGCTCGCTGCCCGCTTCGCGGCCCGCCCACTTCGCAGCCCGCCCGCCCGCTCGCTGCCCGCTTCGCGGCCCGCCCGCCTCGCAGCCCGCTCGCCCCGCTGCCCGCTTCGCGGCCCGCCCACTTCGCAGCCCGCCCGCCCGCTAGCTGCCCACTTCGCGGCCCGCCCGCATCGCAGCCCGCTCGCCCCGCTGCCCGCTTCGCAGCCCGCCCGCCCGCCCGCTGCCCGCTTCGCGGCCCGCCCGCCTCTCAGCGTCGCCTGCCCGCCGTGCTGCCCACTTGCAGCGCCGCCTGCCCGCCGCGCTGCCCGCTTCCCGGCCCGTCCGCCGAGCTGCCCGCTCGCAGCGTCGCCCTCCCGTCGCGCTGACCGCTTGCAGCGCCGCCTGCCCGTAGCGCCAGCCTCGCCCGCTGCTCTCTATCCGTGCACAGTCGCCTTCCCCTGCTGCGGCAGCTTGCGTTACTCTGTCACACTGTCGCTATGGCTTCCATCCGCGTACTGTCGTTCGATGCTGAGGGCCGCCCTGTGCGCTTCACCGCTTGGCTAGATGACCTGCAGCTGTTCCTCCTGAGCGATAGCAAGGAGCATGTGTCGCTCTATGATTACGCGTCTGGTGCTGCGCCTGCCCCTCCTGCCACAGCTGAGCTTAGTGTTCGTTCCCACTGGCAGACTCGTGACGCAGCTGCTCGCCTAGCCATTCGCAGTCACCTGCCGTTAGCTGAGCTAGAGCATTTTGGCGACTGCAAATCCGCTAAGGCCCTGTACGACGCTGTCGTCGCTCGCTACTCCTCGCCTGCCACAGCCGAGCTTAGCCGCCTCATGCTGCCGTACCTGTTCCCCGATCTGTCCACCTTTACTACAGTCGCCGATCTTATCACCCACCTTCGCACTAGTGATGCTCGCCTGCGTGCCGCCCTTCCCACCGAGTTCTGCGCTAAGAACCCCCCTCCACTGTACTGGACACTCCACTTCATAGTCACCCGTCTCCCTGACACCCTCCGCTCAGTTCGAGACCACTTCCTTGCTCGCTGTCCCACTGAGCTCACAGTCGCCCTCCTAGAGGAGCACCTGCTCGCGGCCGAAAAGAGCATTGTAGCTGTCGGTGCTGCTCGTGGCGCTCCTCGCACCCCCATCTTTGAGGGGTGTTCTCCCTCTCCCCTCGCTCCCTCCTACGCTGCTGCTGCTGCTGTTGACTTCCTTGGTGCTGAGTCTGTTGGCGCTGCTTCTACTCCTGGTGGGAGGCGCCGCACCGGCAAGGGCAAGGGGGGCAAAAGTGGTGGTGGTGGCGCTGGGGGGGGAGGAGGTGGGGGAGGTGGGGGGGGAGGCGGTGCTGGAGGGAGCGGTGGCGGGAGCGCTGGTGGGAGTGGGGTCGGTGGTGGAGACGGGGGCGGCGGAGGAAGCAGTGGCAGTAGTGGCGGCGGCGGCGGTGGCGGCGGTGGCGGTGGTGGCGGTGGTGGCGGTGGCGGTCGGAGCGGTGGTAGTGGTGGCGGCGGAGGTCGGAGTGGAGGCACTGGCTCGGGCCAGAGCTCCCAGCAGCAGCAGCGTCCCCAGACGACCCAGCAGCTTCGTGAGTGGCTTGCTCAGCGTGGGACGTCGGGGGCCAGTGCCCGCTGTTCTTATGTCATTCGCACAGGTGACCGCAAGGGACAGACGTGTGGGAGGTTCCACACCCCGTACCGCTGCTTCTCCCGCCTTGACGACGCTTGGCGTGAGGAGATGGGTGCGGATGTTGAGCGCCCCCGCTGGGCTGAGCTCATGAGGGCTGGTGTTGATGTCTTTGCTCTTGACTATGATGCTATTATTGCTGCCATGTATGCATTGACTGTTAGTGCCGAGGGAGACTGTTACTTGTGTGTGCCGCCTGACCCAGGTATAGAGCCTGCTGCCCTGGGTACTAGTGAGTCTGCTCTCTCTGGTATGGTGCCCCCTGTACCTGCTCCCCCCAGTGCTGTCCCGGCTGGTTTCGAGTCTGCTCTCTCAGGTACAGCACCCACACAGACTCCTCTCTCAGGTACCGCACCGGCTGAGGCCTGTCACACCTTCACCCTTGACTCAGGTGCTTCCCGTTGCTTCTTTCGTGACAGTACTGAGCTCACACCGCTTCCTGCACCGGTCCCAGTCTCCTTGGCTGACCCCTCTGGGGGCCCAGTCCTTGCCCAGTCCACCACTGTCCTCCCTTGTCCGGCGGTTCCGTCTGGCTCGTTGTCGGGTTTCCACCTCCCCTCGTTCTCGACGAACCTGGTGAGCAACGCTGTCCTCCAGGATCAGTGGGTTGACACCTTTACCCCTGGCGGACAGCGTGTGGCGATCTGCACGTGCTCCAGGACCGGCCGTCACCTGGCTACGTTCACCCGTCGGCCGGGGTCGAGTCTCTACACACTGACCACTGCGTCTCCCCAGGTAGCTGCTGTCGGTCAGGTGTCTGCGTCAGGTCTGGTGGCCCACGCCTGTGAGTGTCGCTCCCTGTCGCACCAGACTCTTCTCTGGCACCACCGCCTGGGTCACCCCTCCTTGCCACGCCTTCGTGGCATGCACCGTCGCCTCCTTGTGTCCGGTCTTCCCAGGTCCCTCCCTCCCCTCCCTGCCTCGCCTGCGCCGCCTTGCCTTCCTTGCGTCGAGGGGCGGCAGCGCGCCGCTCCTCACTCCTCCTCGTTCCCCCCGACAGAGGCTCCTCTGGAGACCCTCCACCTGGACGTGTGGGGCCCAGCCCGCGTTCGTGGTCAGGGCGGTGAGCGGTACTTTTTGCTGGTTGTCGACGACTACTCGCGTTACACCACGGTCTTCCCCTTGCGCACCAAGGGTGAGGTCCCTGCTGTTCTGATCCCTTGGATCCGCACGGTTCATCTCCAGCTCCGCCGCCGTTTCCGGACGGATCTTCCTGTCCTGCGTCTGCACTCTGACAGAGGTGGTGAGTTTTCCTCCGATCTCTTGAGGACCTTCTGTCAGGCGGAGGGCATCGAGCAGACCTTCACGCTTCCGGACTCCCCACAGCAGAATGGGGTTGCTGAGCGTCGCATTGGCCTGGTCATGGAGGTCGCTCGTACCTCCTTGGTCCACGCGGCGGCTCCCCATTTTCTGTGGCCGTTTGCTGTCCGGTACGCCGCGCATCAGCTCAACCTCTGGCCCCGTGTCTCCTTGCCGGAGACCTCGCC